GCTGCGGCGGCACAACGGCGACACCTGGACCGCAAGCTGCTCCTCGGCTACCACCGGCACTCTCCACCCCTGCACCCCCAGAGGGACCACCCTCAGGGCGACCGGGACGAGCACCCCTAGAGTCAGCGAACGGGGGCTGCGACGGCGGCGGCGGCAGCGGCGGCAGCGACGGCGACGGCTACAGCGGCGGCAGGGGCGGCGGAGGAGGGGACCGGGGGGGGGACACGTGGGGAGGGGCGGCCGGCGAGGACTGCACCGGAGGGCCACCAGAGTCAGAAGACTCCTCAACCGGGTCCACGGACGGAAGGGGGGTGACGTGGGAGACACCAGAGGGGGCGGGAGGGGGAGGAGGAGGAGGAGGAGGAGGGGCAGGGACTACCGGGGAAGGGGTGACCAGGAACAGGGGGGGGGTAACCGGGGGACCACGGTGGGGGAAGCAGCGGTAGTAGGAGACGGACTCGTCAAAGGTGCCGTCACGAGAGTGAAAGAAGCGGTGAGACGGCGGGTGGTAAAAGTGCCAGTCGGACGCGTCAAGGGGAAAACCGAGGAAGACGCAGGGAAGGGTGCGGGCAGTGAGCTTGTCCGTGCCGGAGGCACGGACGTGAGCAAGGCAGCCCCAGACGTGGAACGCAGACGCGTCACCAGGAGACCCAGTCCAAAGACGGGTCGGCGAAACCTGCGGCTGCTGAGGGTGCGGCCACAGGTTAAGCTGGTGAGAAGCATAGCGCACAGCGAACGGCCACAGAAAATGGGGTGCACCGTCATGGACCATGGAGGTGCGAGCGACCTCCATGACCAAACCGATGCGTCGCTCAGCGACCCCATTCTGCTGTGGGGAGTCCAGTAGGGTGAACGTCTGGGTGATGCCCTCCGCACGACAAAAGCGACCAAGGACACCTGAGGCAAACTCGCCACCACGGTCTGAGTGAAGACGCAAGACAGGGAGACCGCGGTGGACACGCGCAGAGACAAGCCAGGGGATGAGGGCGCCAGGCACGTCGGCCTTGCGCTCCAGGGGAAAGACTGTGGTGTAACGAGTGAAGTCGTCGACAAGCACAAGGAAGTAGCGCTCGCGACGCGGCCCAGGGACGGGGGCGGGGCCCCAGACGTCCAGGTGCAGGGTCTGCAGCGGCGCGGCGGTAGGGGGGAACGAGGAGGAGTGAGGGGCACGGCGAAGCCGACCCTCGACACAAGGCGTGCAAGGTGGAGCTGGGGAGGAGGGAAACGCGGGGAGTGAACCAGGGAGACCAAGGACAAGACCGTGCTGGGACATGTGACGCAGACGCGGGAGCGCAGGGTGACCTAGGCGATGGTGCCACAGGAGGGTCGGGTGAGTGAGGGGGCGACAGGAGCAGGCAGCAGCAACCTGGGTAGACACAGCCACCTGAGGGGGCGCTCCAGCCGGGGGGGGCACGGTGTCCAGAGTGAACAGGCCGGACACCGGGTCCCGGGGGAACGTGGACAGGGGGGCACCAGTGGCGGCCTCGGTACAGACAGCATACCGCTCGTGACCAGGGAACGTAGTGGTGACGCCAAGGTCCTGGAGGCAGCCGACACCGACTAGGTTCCTGGAGAACGAGGGGATATGCAGACCTGTAAGAGAGCCCGAAGGAACCGCCGGACAGGGAAGGGTGGTGGAACTGCGGGCGACTACCGGACCGCCGGAGGGGTCAGCAAGAGAAACGGCAGCAGGAACAGGAAGCGGCGTCAGGGTGGTGGAGTCGCGGAAGAAACACCGAGAGGCGCCAGAGTCCAAGGTGAAGGAAAGCGAAGCCGAGGGGTGTGGCGACGGAACGATGGCAGAAGCACCAAGACTACACAAAGCAGGGGATCCTACGCCTGACGCAGCAGGGGAGGCTAAGCTAGGCACACCTACACTAGGCAACAGTGAGTAATAAGTCGGAAGCACACTAGAGTCATCAGCATACATCACATGCAGAGCAGAAACAATGGCATCCATGTCCATATCAAAGATCTGAATCTGACGACTAAGCAAACTGTGCCAGTCCGGGAGGTCTGGCGACGGGCCGAAACGCTGACGAAAGAGGTCGTCCAGGCGACGAAAGCAGCGGGGAGTGGAGTGACCGATCTTACCGCAAACGAAGCCGCGGCGAGGACCGGTCTGGATCTGGTACTGACAACGCCCGCCGGCAGAGCCACCACGCGGCACACCACCCCGCGCCCGTCCACCGCCAGCGCCGGGCCACCCTGGCGGGAGAACGCTCGTCTGCCGCGTCTGCAACGGCTGCTGCGGCTGCTGCGAAGGCTGCGACTGCGGCGGCTGCTGCGGCTGCTGCAACTGCAGGGGCGGCGACTCAGCTGGACTGGGCAGGGTCCCCTCGTCCGCTCCAGCACCAGGCGACCCGACCCCACCACTACCCCCGCCCGCACCCCCGCCGCCCCCTCCGCCGCGCCCAGCCTTGGGGCGGCGGCCCTTCCCAGAACGGGCCTGCGCTGCAGCAGCAGTCTCAGCCACTGCGGCAGAGCCGTCGGAGAAGGTACACTGAGCGGGGGCACAACCCTGAAAGATAGGGACCGGCACGACACCGCTCGCCTGGGCGATGGAGCGGTGACGGGTCTCTATCACAGTCAGGGTGTCGACAAAGTCAGTGAGGGTGAGGTCTACGGGGTGAACACTAAGGAAGCGGTCGCGGGCAACAGCAAGGCGGTCAGGGAGGCGGGTGGCAAGCAGGTAGAGGGTAGAGGTAATGGGCGGCTGGTGGGCTCTAAGCTGTGCGTCAGTGCAGGCGGCGCGCCAGGTCTCCTCTATCGAGCGCAGGTGAACAACGAGGTCAGAGACAGTGGGGAACGAAGCAAGGTCAGGAAAGAGCAGCGGGAGGATCAGGCGACCCACCGATGCAGCCGGAGGGGTGGAATAGCGCTTGATGACAGCATCTAAGTATGCCTGAGCAGTAGTGAGGGACCTAAAGCGAGGACGCTCGGACGGGGGGAGGGCGTTGCTAATGGCAAGCTGGGCGACAGCATCGCGAGAAAGCCAGACAGAGCGCGCACGGGCAGTGGCAGCAGTAGACTCACGCTCAGTGGGTGTGGGGTCAGCGGGCAGAATAGCAGGAGGGTCTGGGCAGGGGAGCGTACCGTCAAGGTGTGCTGAAAGCGGTTCACCATCCTGCCGCTGGCCAGTGAGTTGGCGGCGGAGGTCGGCAAGCCACGCCTCGAACTCTAGGGGCTGACCTTCAGCGTCGAAGCGAAGCTCCGCCGCCATCAGGAACAGTCCAGTGCTGTGCAGGGCGGTGCAGCTAGGTGGGGTGCGGTGCAGTGCGATACAGTGCGGTGCAGTGCGGTGCAGTGCGGTGCAGGGCGGCACGGAGCAGGGCGGGGTGGGGGGGGGGGGGGGGGAACCGTACCAGTGAGGAGGACGGGGCCGGGGCTGGCCCGACGGGGCCGGGCAGGCGCGACGGGGCCGGGCTGGTGCGACAGGGCCGGGACGGGGCGACGGGGCCGAGCGGGCGCGACGGGGCCGGGCTGGGGCGACGGGGCCGGGCGAGTGCGGCAGGGCCGGGCCGGTGCGACGGGGCCGGGCGAGCGGGATGGCGGCCGGGCTGGTGCGACGGGGCCGGGCGGCTGCGACGGGACCAGGCAGGGTGCAACGGGGCCGGGCGGGCGCGACGGGGCCGGGCAGGGTGCGACGGCGCCGGGCGGGCGCGACGGGGCCGGGCGGCGGCGACGGCGCCGGGCGGGCGCGACGGGGCCGGGCGGCGGCGACGGCGCCGGGCGGGCGCGACTGGGCCGGGCGGCGGCGACGGGGTCGGGCGGGCACGATGGCGCCGGGCGGGCGCGACGGGGCCGGGCGGCGGCGACGGTTACGACGCGGCCCAGGAGGGGCGCTACGGGGCCCAGGAGGGGCACGACGGGGGGGGCCCAGGAGAGGCGCTACGAAGCCCAGGAGGGCGCGACGAGGCCCAGGAGGGGCGCTACGGGGCCTGGGAGGGGCGCGACGGGGCCTGGGAGGGGCGCGACGGGGCCCAGGAGGGGCGCGACAGGGCCCAAGGAGGGCGCGACGGGGCCCAGGAGGGGCGCTACGGGGCCCAGGAGGGGCGCGACGGGGCCCAGGAGGGGCGCTACGGAGCCCAGGAGGGGCGCGACAGAGCCCAGGAGGGGCGCTACGAGGCCTGGGAGGAGCGCGACGGGGCCCAGGAGGGGCGCTAGGGGGCCTGGGAGGAGCGCGACGGGGCCTGGGAGGGGCGCGACGAGGCCTGGGAGGGCGTTACAGGGCCCAGGAGGGGCGCTACGAAGCCCAGGAGGGGCGCGACGAGGCCCAGGAGGGGCGCTACGGGGCCCAGGAGGGGCGCGACGGGGCGCTACGGGGCCTGGGAGGAGCGCGACGGGGCCCAGGAGGGGCGCTAGAGGGCCTGGGAGGGGCGCGACGGGGCCTGGGAGGGGCGCGACGGGGCCTGGGAGGGCGGTACAGGGCCCAGGAGGGGCGCTACGAAGCCCAGGAGGGGCGCGACGAGGCCCAGGAGGGGCGCTACGGGGCCCAGGAGGGGCGCGACGGGGCGCTACGGGGCCTGGGAGGAGCGCGACGGGGCCCAGGAGGGGCGCTAGAGGGCCTGGGAGGGGTGCGACGGGGCCTGAGGGGGGGGGCGCTACAGGGCCAGGGGGGATGAGCGGAAGCGGTAGGTGGGGGGGGGGATCCTACCTACGCGTGATACCATTACAAATACACATGTTTGACAATACCATCTCAAAGAAAAACTGAATGATTAGATAGAGGGAGAGAACAAGTGTATATACCTAAGAGTGTTGTACCCTCTAAGAGGTGACCCTATACAGTCTATACAAATATGAGTTATACATATATTTGACAAGCACTTCATGCGGGGCCACCTAATTGGCCGACACGAAAATGGCACAAATTGTGCTGACGCAGACAATCAAGTCAATCCCTAGATGACTGGAAAGGGGTCTCCCGAAACCGCCAAAAAGGGGGGTCCTCAATTTCTGGTTGCACAGGATAAGACCCACCCCGGTATAAAGACCCATGAGGCTTCAATTACAGGAAACGTTTCAGCCGGGTAAATACGGAACAATTCTGACATATGGTCTGTTCCTACAAGTCGGATCGTGTTAGGCGCAGTTGCGTTAAAGCCAACTGTATGTCCCTCAACTACAGTGTGCTAGGCTGCACAAGTAGTGCAGCAACTACACATAGCTATGTGCACCTCCCTACCAGCTGCTTACGGGCTGATCAAGTCAGCAAATTACTCTACCACTAAGCTTCAACGCCTACACCTGCTGTAGCTGCTGTCGAGGTTGCTGTTAAATGGAATAAATGAACCAATTAGGTACTATACCCTCTGCTGGCCCATAAACTATTCTCTCTGGAGCCTGCTGCTGCTAGTGCTGCTGCTGCCTTGGTAGCTGCTATAGCGCCTGTCCTTGTTGATGTGTGCCATGCTCTCCCATCTCCTGTGGTTGTTGAGGCATCAGTGGGTTCTGCACCCTCGGCAGGGCAGGCATTGCCATGGCCATATGCACAGGCACAGGCACAGGCACGTGCACATGCACTGGTACATGTAGCGAGGCAGGCGGCGGTGAGGGTATGGAGAGGCCCAAGGGAAGGCTGAGGGGCACAGGCACCTCCATGGGCTGTCTGGAGTTCGGGGAGAGGAGGGGCGACGAGAGCGACAGCGGCACCAGGGGCGGAGGTAGAGGAGATGAGGAGGCACCAAGTGGGGAAGCTCCAACGGGCGGGCGAATGGGGGAGGGGGTGAGTGAGGGCGGCATGGAGATGGGGTGGAGGGCAGGGGACATGGAGGGCGAGGCGGCTTGGGGGTTTTGGACCACCACCACCATGGGCGCTCCTGCGTTACACGCGAAGCCAGCGCCGCCAGCAGCGGCTGAATCGGAGGACGAGAAGGTGGTGGTGCAGATGCCGATGGTCCAGTCCTTTGATCTCAGCCGTTGAAAGCCCTTGTCGTCCATGTCCTGACGAGAATCGCGAATGGGCGACGGGCAAGAGGTGCCACGGAAAGAGGGGAAAACGGGTAAGAGAGAGAGGCTTAGAAGGGCCCTCGATAAGTTAACGAGTGGCCCTAGACATTATCCAGCCGCGACAGGGGGAAACCACACAAGAAAGGAATCAACCGTGCCCGCGAGTAGACGGTTCAAGGCAAGCGGGGCGGTCAAAGGACGAACGGCGGGGAGCGGGCGGAGAGCGGGCGGGGAGCACTCACGACGCGGTGAATGGGCGGGAGGGGGTGCTGCTCGGCGGGCAGGAGCATGAAGATGGGCGCCATCAGCCGCGACCGGAACGTCCACCTGCGCGCGCGGGACGGGGCGGAATACGAGGCGGGGGGAAGGAAACAGCAAGATGAGAGGGGAAGGGTGGAAGCGCGCGCCAGCGAGAGCGCACTTGACGGGGAAAATCCAAGCCGAAACGATGCTACGCTGGCGGTCATGTCAACAGGAAGAGGAAGAGGAGGAGGAGGAGGAAGAGGAAGAGGAAGAGGAAGAGGAAGAGGTCAAAGGAACAGAAGGGAGAGCGAGGTGCCACTCACCCGATGAAAAGGAACACGGCGACCTCCGCCACCTCCCTCAGTTGCAGCCGCACCCAGTACGGGCCCAGCACGTCCGACTTGGTTTGAAGCTGCACGACGCGGGAGAGGCACGAAAAGAAGGAAAAACAGACGGAGTCAGGCGACGAATAGGGTTACCGTCGCGAACGCGACGGCGAGGAGTCACAACAGTGAGAATAAACCAAATCCTGATCTTCATTCTAAATCGTTTCGTAGTTCTTGACTCACGAGTATTTCGATGAGCACGATGGCCAGCATGGCGCCCTGGAAGCTGCGGAACAGCGCCAGGCGGTGCAGCAGCGCAGGGTACAGCGCGCTCCCCGCGCCCCCCTCCACCGCCGCGCCCTCCGCCTCCGCCTGGCGCAGCTGCTCCTGCAGCGCACCCATTCTCCGCGCAACGTTTGAAAATATGGCGTACAGCAGAAGAGTGTAGACGCCCGCTAGAATGATCTGGAAATGCGGAAGGGCCGCCTTGTACGCGGTAATGGAGATGTAGAGCATGCCGCTGAGACCCGCTATAGAACGCCTCTGTGCCATGGATAACGAATCCTGCGTGATGCCCAGGCCGTGCGCGATGAGCAGGAACATGATGAAGCACGTGGTTTCGAAGAAGATTCGCGAGACGAACACGCCGAACGCGACCCAGAAGGAGCACGTGTCGAAGTGCAAGCACCAGTGCCTGGAGGAGATCGCAGGAGTAAAAAAAGAAAACAGAGTGCCGAGGAAGGAGATTAAGCGATAAGCACACATATTATGAAGGGCGTGCCGTAACCTAATTTTCTGGAAGCACCGCTTCACTGCTCAACGTGCTTAATATTATTGGTCCTTAATGGCTTCGCTATCGCTTCGGCGTAACTGGCAGGGCAATCTGGTATCTCCTTCGAATGCAACACCGGCTGCCGGAATTCACTCAACTGATCGGCTAATTCTCCCAGATACATCTAATCTGACGGCCTAAATCATCCTGGCCTTGCCAAGAGCGTAGGACTGGCGCTGACGCACTAACGCTATCGCTCCTTACGGCTGCTCATGTCAGGACAAGCAAGAGAGTCGCATGCTGCTCGACGGCGACTAGGACTTGAGCCACGCTCGTCAGGAATTCCGAATCGGTTATCAATAACAACGGCCATGGATTGCGGGAAGTTGTGAGGCTGGAAGGAGCGAGGCGAACTGACCAGAAGAAGAAGGAGAGGCCGAGGACGACGCACTTGAGCGCTGGTACGAGAGCAAGGGCCCATTGAAGGTAGCTCGTCTGCACGAAAAGACACGCGAAGGCAGATTAGATTCCGAGATGGCACGTGAAGGCATCAGCAGTCTTTCCGCTGGTAGTGACTCGTTAAAAGGAGGAAACGGCGAGATTTAATTGCAGCGTACGGTGCGCGCGCTGTAGTTGCTAGCTCCGCATACCTGCCAGTGGCGCTTCGTCCACGTGTTCCAAATCCACACTCCAAAGAGCACCGTCCACGTCGCTAGCGAGCACACGAAGAGAAGCGGCAACGGCCGGTACTCCTCCTCCCAGTCTTCCTGCCCTTGCAATCCCGCCACTTGGATTTGACTAGCCATCCTGACACTAGACACGGCGCCGTAGTTGTTACTATCACTAAGCAGCTAGGCTCCGTGGCTAGAACTGGAAACTAGGTTTACTTGGAAGGAGGCATAGAAGAATATCGCTAGCTCAACGGCGGGTCTAGGTGCAAATGATCGGATAGTCTCGTGATGCTGTCGTCAGATGAAGAGTCGCACGAACAAGGTCAAGCACTTTTGAATGCTGATGGTCAGAGCTTTTAGCTGGAGTGATGAGCATCAAGTGCGCACATCTAGTTCAGCAGCAGTCTGACATGTGAGGGATGCGGGAATCGCAGCGACTGCTGGGTGAGCAAGGTGACGGGAGAGCCATAGTGCCGTCGGCCAAAGGATGAGAGGGGGAATGGGCAGAGCTGCAGGGCAGCACGGGGAAGTTGAAACACATACGGCTGATTTTCGCGCGAGCCAAGCCGCGCTCAAAATGAAGTGGGCCAGGGGCTTTGAACCAGTAAGGACCCGACGGGTGGCGGTCACACTGAGTATGATGCGGGCCGCAATGCACAGTTGGGATAAATTACGGGCGCTTCGACGGTGCAGTGCGGAGCACTGTCATTTCGCGACGCGGGAACGACACACAGCCGCCACTGACGACAGAAACAAGTTCAATCCCGCCTGTTGATGGATTGTGTGAGTCAAGTTTCGCAAGCGTCGCATACATCGCTGGTTTTGAGATCCTGTACAATAGGCTCTGACCAGACTGTGCGACGAAGAGCTGTGGAATTCGTATATTTGAGTAACAAACTACAGCTTCGCTGAGAGAAGGCTGTTGGGTGTTCTGAAAAGGTACAGTTGTCAGAGCGCGCATGTCAACGTTTTCGCGCAGCATACTTGATCCACGAATCAGAGCAAGCCATTTCCACAATGTGCACTGGCTCCACTGACACGGTGATGACGTCATCAGTTGCTCGTCACCTGTGACATGACATAACAGATCATATTACGGGATAACTAGCAATAATACACTGAATGTACATCCTGTGAAGGTAACACACTCTTATAGCATTCGCTTCATATATTCTGGAATGAGTTTCACTTATCCCAACATGTAAAGACAAGGATACTATTGAATTCGAACTTTTATAAAGGGATATTCGAGCGAAATTATCAACATAAAGAATTATTTTTAGAAGTGTGAAACTCAATATATTAGAGTAAACCACGACACAATATGTGCGCTTATGTTGTTTTTTTTCATTCAAGCCTTCAATGGCTGAACAAAGTTTTCAATTATTTATATATGCTGCAAATATTAGTTTTGACGTAGTTTTGCTTCTCACTTGTTTACCACATTCTAGGTCCTCACTTCAAAACCCATTAGCTACTGGAACCTCATTCCAATGTGGAGTCTGACGCTGACGGGTAGATTCGCAAAGCAGCAGAGCATGACACAGACTGACGTGGTGGAAGTCGGCATCGCCTTGCGCGCCGAACACGTTCGCGACATGCAGCCACCATGACTGTGCTTGAGCATGCCGCTAATCCAGGCTTCGAGCCTCCAGGCTTCGAACCCGCGGAAGGGGAGAGTCGACTCATAGAGCCGATGACCCAGGCAGTCTGTTGCGAGAGTGGCTTCATTCTCTTCTTCTACCTTGCTGTCTCGCGTTACTGTTTGAACCGGGGAAGGCATACGGAGAGCTTCAACGGCGTCCTCGCCAGACGTTTTATTTTCTTATCCTCGTCGCGCGCTTCCCCACGTCTGCGACATGGTTTTCAAGCTTCGGTTCCGAATTCCCGCAATTCTGCTCGAAAGGAGCTGTGATGACGTGAATGGCAGCGGCAGTGGCAGCGGCAGCAGCAGCAGTGGCTCCTCAGTCACGATCGGCGACGGCAGCAGCAGCAGCACCTCAGTTACGAGCGGCGACAGCAGCAGCAGCATCACCACTAGCATCGCAACAACTGGCCTTGACCCTGAACCGGCCAACGAACGAACCACACCCAACGATGGAGCAGGCAGCGGCTTCCCACGTGGACTATCCCATCGCCGTCGATCCGCACGAGCCCCTCCAAGAGGAAGGGAAGCAGCAAGGCCGAGCAGAGGCAGCAAGTCAGGTTTTTTGCTGCTGGCCAAGAAGTTGTTTTATCACATGCTGTATCCGCGGTCAAGGCAGAGCTTAAATCGGGTACAGTGATCGAAGTACTGCCAGTGAGATCGGGAGAGGGAGAAAGTATTGGGGCTACCAGTGGTAGCGACAGCCCAGGCACAACAGCAACAGTCGTTGCTGCTGTTTGTAACCCTGTTGCTGTTGAAGATACCCTTACCCCTCTCATAAACCCCAGCCCGGAAAGCTCGCCTGCTACTGCTCGAGACTCTGCCACTATACCCGCCCCTCCCTCTGCCCCTCTCTCCTCACCTGCACCTGCTGCTGCACCTTCGGCTCTCCCTGCACCTGCCACTGCCATGGACAAGGGCGCTGGAGCTGGCGCTGGCAATGACACAGGCGCAGAGACGGGCGCCGCTGGTGGCGCTGATGCTGGAGCTGACACTGACACACGCGCTGACACTGGCGCTGACACTGACAAAGGTGCTGACACGGGCGCTGGCGCTGGTGCTGACACGGGCGCTGACACGGGTGCTGACACGGGCGCTGACACGGGTGCTGACACGGGAGCTGACATGGGCGCTGACACGGGCGTGGAAGATACGCATACCAATGGAGGCAGTGGTGCCAGCTGTAATCCCAGAAGCAACTGCAGCAGCCGTGGCGACACCAGCACTAGTGCCATTCTCGGTGCATTACGTGCCTGTGACAACAACTGCAGCAGCAGCAGCAGCAGCAGCGAAGGAGGCAGCAGCCATGGCGCCACCAGCACTGGCAATACGTTCCTGTGTCAGTAAGAGCAGCAGCAGCAGCGAAAAAAGAAGCAGCGGTGACGACAGCAGCAGTGACAAGGAGCTCAAGCCTATGAGTCGGCCTGCCATGGTGCATCACGTGGACGTCAACCTGCCCTGGACGCACTCCCTCTGCCCATGCTGCCTCACGTGCATGCTGCACCCCTCCCACCCAACCACCTACAAGATCTCCACCCTCAAAAGCCTGCGCAAGCGCCTGCAGCAGACTGTGGCTCCCTCGATGCCGAAGTACAGGTTCTAGAACAAGCCCACGCCAGCCATCCTCGCCTATTCCGCCACCGTCCCTGTGGTGGGTCCACAAGGCCATCTGGTTCGTTGCGGTGCTGCTGCTAATGCTGCCGCTGCAGCTGCTGGTGCTGGTGCCGATGGTGCTGCCAGCACCGCTGCCAATGGCGGCGCATCGGGGCCTGACCTGGCGTTGGCCTCCCCCGCAGTGCACTAGTACCGATGGAAGGTGGATTCAGCGCCATTGATTGCAGCAGAGGGGATGATGCTCGAGTGGATGGCAGAGCCACGTATCGGCCTGCTAATGGACCTGGAGGAGGTGAGGCGCCAGCTGGGGGGACACATGGAGATTCCTGAACTTGAGGCTGCACGCGCTGCAGCCGCTGTTGCTGCAGCCACTTCTGCTTTATCCGCTGCTTGTCTGACCTACCGCCCGCTGTGGTGGTGCTGCTGGCAGTGCAGCAAGTGCTGGACTGCCTATCGACGCGCCGTGTCCATCGCCGCTTTCACTGTGCTCGTAGCCAAGTTCCCCCGGATTGTGACTCTATGGCGTGCCGTTGTCTTTTCGCCCTTTATGGGTTTCGCTAGTCTGGTTTTCCAGTTCAATGCGGGGCAGCAGGTGAAGGGGGACTGCCTGGCGTTGCTGCTGCTGCAGGTGCTGGGAGTGAAGGGCAAGGAGCAGCTTGAATCCGGCTTTGCTGCTCACATGCTGCCACTGCTGCCGGGGGGGTCTGCACATGGGGAGGCGGGAGGGGGGGAGGGGGGAGGAGGGGGAGGAGGAGCAAGGGGGGATGGAGGAGGAGGGGGTGGTGGAGGGACAGGGCGGGTAGAGACACGAGGGGGGAGGGAAGGGGAAGGGAGAGGGCAGTGGAGAACCAATTTAAGAGGCGTGGAGTGGGAGGATTATGCGCATCGCATGGGGGAGATTGTCGCTCAGGGAGGGCTGCAGGCAGAGCAGCACTGCTGCAGCTGCACGCAGTGCTGCGAGGGGGAGAGTGTGAAGGAGAGGGATATCCGGGACAGGGAGAACCAAGCCAGCAGCAGGAGCAGCAGCAGCAAGGGCAGTGGCAGCAGCAGTGGCATGGTCATATCTGACGTGGACCCCACTGAGTTCGCTCTCAAGTGCGCCGTCAATCTCGTCGAGCCTCGTTATGCCTGGTGTGGGGCTATGGCTTTTACCGAACCTGCTAACAGCAGGTACAAGGAGAGGGCGGAATTGTCTGCAGTGGAGGAAGCAAGGCAGCGGCTGTCAGCGGCGGAGCGAAGCAAGGAGGAGAGCAAAGGTGTAAGGAGAGCTGCATCCACCGGGCCTCAAGCTGCAAGCAACAGCACCAGCGCCAGCCTTGTGCCAGTGAACAGTAACGCAGTGGTTGGAGTATTCACCTGCCGAGTCGCCTGCCTCCTGCGGTGGGTGCAACTCTACGGACCCAGGTTCATCTCCGGCGGGAACTGCAGGCGTTTTCTGCTCGTTTTGGCAGACGTCGCCCTCCCGCACCCAATGCACGACCTTCCGAACCTGCTGGTCAGGTTTGGGGCCGTGCCCAATCCTCCAGGCTCCCCGAGCCTGGAAGGTTTGGCTTCATTGCGGTGGGAGGAGTTTCCAGAGGGGGACAGGGAGCAGGTGGAGGCCAAGGAGAAGGAGCCAGGTGATTTTTAAGGGCTACATAAGTTCTATGTGAAGGATATGAGTAACCACGACGTGGACAGGAAGGAAATGAGGAAGGAATTTAACCTAGCAGAGCTGAAAGTGACCGTCTCTGGAACGCGCCCTATGTGGGACTACTCCACTGGTCCGTTCTTCCCCACACTGGCCCACCGCGTGAAAGAGTTTCTGAAAAGGTTTGCCCCCAAGCGGCGGGCAAAGGAGGGGAAGAAGGGTCCTCTGGCACGGGCCATCACCACCTGGGTGGAGGGCTTGGGCCTGGGGGATAGGAGCTGGGCTGCGCTGGCTCTGGGGAGGTTTGCAGACGGCAGGATGAAGCCGATGCTTCGGTCTTTGGAAGAGGTGGAGGCCTTTCTGGAGAAATTCGCGGCTCCTGAGAAATTCAGGAGGACTCCTGCGTGCACCCGCTGCCAGTGCTGC